TGGCAATGTGCAGAGATTTGCATAGTGAATTTATTGCAGTGTCTGGGACTTTCAGAGAAACTAGCAAAAGAACCTTGAAACCAGAGGATGAATTACACATATTTGCAAATTTATGCACCTTACGTTTTTAATTTATCGTTTTCTGCATAGGATTCAGATTAGGCTTTTTGGTATGTGTGGTGAAATCTGTTTATTGTACTGTAGATTACCAGCCAAGCTGAATTAACCCCTTCATGACTCGTACTGCCTGCTGCGTTTCCACTCTTCTTTTGAAAAAAAGTTAGCATCAGACTTTGACATTTTGTATTTTTATTTTTTTTATTTTTTTTTTTTTTTTTACATATTTTCATTAAATTCGAATTCTAGCTAAGCCTAACTCATCTTAGAAATGTTCCCTTCCCCCTCCTAAGACTTATGCTGACTAACCTGTGTAAGAAAGATGTATATACTTACCTATTTTCAGCCCACTCCGGTCTAGCCGTATGATCCGGCTCCCCTGTATCCGCCAGCGGCGGATGCAGGGGAGAGGCAGGAGCACCAACAGGTGGATAATGGGAGCCTGTTTGAGTACGCTCTCCTCTCCCCTGCAGCTGCCACTGGCTGACACAGTGGGGTCACATGCTCGGACTGGAGCAGGCTAAAGATAGGGAAGTTTATACATCTATTGTTTTCACAGGTCAGCATAGGTGTTGGGATGGAAGAGGGACATTTTAGGACCTGTTAGGTTTAGGAAAGAATTCTACTTTAAAGAGAAACTTGCACCTTGTCACCCCACTTTTTTTTTTTTTTTTTTTTTTTTTTTTCAGTCCCAACTTACCTGTTTCACTGGGCTATCCTTAATAAAGTACTCAGCCCCCGAGTTAATTCAGCAATCTTGTGTTGCAATGCACAGCTGTACACCATGTTCCTCGCCACTACCGTCCTCTTACGTTGTCGTGGGGACAACTGTTATTTTTTGGTTCTTGCAGCTGCACTCCCCAAATGATGTGGTGCATGCACAGGATTGCCCTGAACCCTTCTGGAGTGCAGGACGAGCAGGATTTGGGGGGTAATAATCTAATGGTTGTCTGTAATCAGGCATGCAGTCAGCAATGCCACTAAACAGATGAGATAAAAGACAAGCCACATACAGAGCCTGTTATTTTGAGAGGGACAGTAAAACACAGTCACTGTCCAGCATGTATATGTACAGTAAGTTTATAATGATCAGATACAACACAAGTCTTTTTCTTTCTCCTTGATGGTATACTTAATATTGTCAAATGAGAGCCAGTGATTTTACTCATCATACTCTTTACTGTGTGACTGCAGCTTTTACACTGTAAGTGCATGTACATATACATTCCTTTTTATACTGTCCTGGGACATAGATACACAACCGTATTATAGAGCCACTTCAGGCTACAAATACATTCTCATTCGGTAACTGCTAAAGTTATCCAGAACATTTTGTAGCTGTATTAACATCAATAAGGAAAGTGTA